CAACAGCTTTTGGCGAGTAAACATCACAGGTTGCGTGACTCAAAATTTGGCCGAGTGGAAGCTTGGGTCTGGTCGCCGACAAATCTACGAAAAAAAAACACCACGGGTAAACCATTAACCGCGCTCGGCCCATGGCCGCGCGGTTAATAATAATAAACCAAGGGTAGATTATGAACCGCGCTCGGCCCATGGCCGCGCGGTTAATAATAATAAACCACGGGTAAACCATGAACCGCGTTGAGCCCATGGCCTGGCGGTTAAAAAGAAGTAATAAACCCCGGGTAAACCTAGAACCGCGCTCGGCCCATGGCCGCGCGGTTAAAAAAATAAACCACGAGTAAACAATGAACCACGCTCGCCCCATGGCCGCGCGGTTAAAAAAAACCCAGGAGATTATGCGCAATAGGGATGCGCAATGCAATACTGGGGAGTGACTTTAAGCCCCTTATTGCACCATTACTTGCAGCGGTTGTAAATTCTCCGATGACGTAATAGTCTTAATCTGGAACTTTCTTCGGGATCTGTATGGACATGAAGATACGAAAACTGTTAACAACAGATGGCTATCTTTAGTACGGTGGTTATTTCCCCACTGAAGACGTAATCGTTGCACATTCTGACACGTTCTTCTAAATTACTTAAGAATAGTTCGAAAAAGATGTTCCCATTCACTTTTCAGCTCTCAGACAATAATTCTGGAATTTTTTGACCAAAACGTTTCGTGTTATGGTTGTTTTTTGGTGTCTATGGGCGACCGTCTCTTCCTCTGTAGACTCAAGCAAGGTCAAGCGAGGTGACAAATAGAATTAATTTATTCTGGTTTTGTTCCATTTCGCTGAAATTTTAACATGATGAAGCTGGGTTGTTAAGGAATTGATTTTTTTTCTGCCGATGTGTTAACTATTAACGCGAAAGATATATATAGCTTCGCAGTCAGGGTTTTGACGAGGCTTTTTGCAACGCGTGGGTTTAGCGTGATTTTGTAATCCGAGATTTTGTTTACCCCGAAGGAAAAAATACCCGGAAAAGGTCATTTCATTGACCTTTCAATTCAAACGAACATAAATTTACATGTTTCGAGATGAGTTTTTAGTGAAAAAATTGGATTTTCGACGAGGGCTGGGGTTTTTATTTTTTTTTTCCGCGAAAACACGCGTCGACAAAGAGTTAATCTTTCAACAGCTTTTGGCGAGTAAACATCACAGGTTGCGTCATTCAATATTTGGCCGAGAGGAAGTCTGCGTCTAGTTACCGACGAAAAACGAGTAAACATTACAGATTGCGTAATTCAAAGTTGGCCAAGTGGAGGTTCGCGTCTGATCGCCGACAGAAAAAAAAAATAAACCACGGGTAGAACGTGAACCGCGCTCGGCCCACGGCCGCGCGGTTAAAAAAAAATAACAAACCACGGGTAGAACATGAACCGCGCTCGGCCCATGGCCGGACGGTTAAAAAAAAAATAAACAAACCACGGGTAGGACATGAACTGCGCTCGGCCCATGGCCGCGCGGTTGAAAAAAAAATAAACTACAGGTAAACCATGAAAGGCGCTCGGCCCATGGCTGCGCGGTTAAAAAAAACACAGGTACAACGTGAATTGCGCTCGGCCCATGGCCGCGCAGTTAAAAAAAAAATTAAAAAAAGATGATAATAAACCCCGTACAGAACATGAACCGCGCTCGGTCCATGGCCGCGCGGTTAATAAATAAACCCCGTGCTGAAAATTCCAGCCCGGTTTGGGAAATTCAAGTTCGGTTAAAATAGCCCATGGGCATGCTTAGTGATTGTATTTTAGGAAATCAAGATGGTTAATACAGAAAGACATCTCTTAAGAATTTAGAGACACTGTCGGTTGAAAAGTGGTGATTACTCCCTAAGCAGAAAAAGATCCCTTAATGGACGATATTTTCGTTTTGATGATATGATGCGCAGTGTTGGAAGCGTGCAACTGAAAGTTATTCAATCCCAATTGCCTTAGAAGCACGGTTACGGTGCCACAAATTGTAAAGACTTGAAAACGCATCTCTAAGCGAAATTGAACATCGCTCAGAGTTCTCTACAACTTGCTGTAATAAACGAGTTAATAAACGTGGTATATTTTTTTGCTCAGATCTACTTTTGTTTTCCAGAAAATTTTCAAAAACTGCACAAGATGTCGACCACTACAAAGATGGCGGACATTAGTGCGCCGAGTATCAACGCAAGAACTTCGCTCCTGAAAAGTTCAAAAGTAAGTTTGCTTTTCTTCAATTTCTTTATTTGTGTGGGAGGTATTGGCAGATTATTTTAGTCAAAAACCAAGATATTTTGTCTAATTTTGAATTCACGGCGGGTGCTTAAAAATCATCAATATTTTATGGTTATACAATCTAATTTTGGAGCATTTTTTCAAGACATGTTTTTCCTATGCGGTATAACTCCGAATCACTTGAGATTAAGGTTGTGATTAGTGGAAGTGTTCTTCTTTTCAAGAATGTAAAGATTAGTTTGGGGCTTTAATTATTGCACGAAAAATACACCCTCTATTTCGGGAAAATCGCTACCTCGAAGTGTCAACAACTGCAAATAATCGAATTAGATTCCCTGTTGTCGAACCCAAAATTCGAAGCAAATCTTAGTGCTTAGCATCCTATTAAATAAAAAAATCAATATTATAAGCTCACCTTGTAACTCCAGTGGCTATAAATGGGGTTTATTCGTATTTCTGTTCAATATAGTCATCTTCTGAATTTTCCGTTCAACAGTGTTTACCGAACGAATAACCGATCTGAGCAATACCTGGATGGCTCTTGTAGAAACATCGCAATTCTTGACAGTCTCAAGTATTTTTAGCTTCTATCCTTCTATAACGTACAAGTGAGCTTGTAAACATGTAAATTCTAACCATTTTAGTGGCTGAAACGAGCAAAATTACCGAATCCCGTGCTAACATGTTCGAAAGATGTATTGTTCGTACCTCACGCTATGACATGTCACACGCCTTTTAAGGAAGGCCCGCATATATTTTGCGTATAAGCGAATAGTTTGGTTTTGTTAAAAAAAAAACTACTTCTTTTTATCTAGAATACTTAAAGAAAATGCTTGCCAGAAAAACCGAAAGGAAAGAAGGATCAAGGGGAAAAGACCGACCGACAAGTAAGTAAGAAGACCGAGCAATTATAAAAGAAAAAAAAAGACAAACAAATATACAATGGAGAAAGTGTTGAAGAGAGACAAACGTAAACTAGGAGCAGGAACGTAGCAATTAAAAAAAATACAACGGAAAAAAAAGGAGCCTTCAACACAATAGAAAACCAACTTAATGATACAATGAACCTCGCGACATTGAAAATTTCTTAAACAAACAGATGATCACTGAGTTTTGTATGCCGGCGGAGTTGAGACTGAACGCATATGGAATGGAAATTAATTGTTCTTTTCAGAGAATAGTTGGGGGACAGTACTCCCAAGATAAAAGAAGTCGAGCAAAAGAAAAGAGTGCTCTTATACTCCCGCTACTTTCATGTGGAAAAGAAACATCTCCGCACACGCTCAGTCTGTCGGCGTCAGTGATGTAGAGTCGGAGATCGACTTAATCTTAGCGCGGGCATCAATGTTCACTACCCCTGATGATATTTTAAAGATGACTATTTGTCCTGCTCATCGCTCATCTTTAGGCATTGGGTGGCGAAGAGGCTCTCAAGGATGCCGCGTGCCAGAAACATTATCAAGTCATGCCCATGGGAAATCGCACAAGGCTTACCGTGGAATCAATAAGGCACTTTCAAAGACCATTCTTAAACGTGCGGGCATATTTATTCCTGCTGGCTCTGGTGAGTCTACGCACTTTTGCTAATTTATGCTAGTATCACCCAACTAGTGGACTAATGCAAATCCTGCATTTTCATTGGCCACGCTACTAGAGGACTATTAGTAATAGTCCTCGAGTAGCGAAATTGGCGCAATCAAGCGTGACGTTTTTTTTTCGTGATACTAAAACAATTAGACCCTTCGTCCTCAAGGGCCACGGGTCAATATGCTAAAATTTAAGTTGCATCTTATTGCGAACGGAGCGAAAAGCGGAGTTTTTGGAGTGCGATAATTTAATTTAAATGTTACCTTGAATACTCTTTTTACATCTTTTTCCTATGCGGTATAACTCCGAATCACTTGAGATTAAGGTTGTGATTAGTGGAAATGTTCTTCTTTTCAAGAATGTAAAGATTAGCTTGGGGCTTTTAATTATTGCACGAAAAATGTTCGCTCTATTTCGGGAAAATCGCTACCTCGAAGTGTCAACAACTGCAAATAATCGAATTAGATTCCCTGTTGTCGAACCCAAAATTCGAAGCAAAACATGCTATAGTTTCCTTGTATTTACACGCAGCTTAAAAAAATATAGTGCGCTTCTTTTATTAACATACTATTTATGGGCATGGCTACCACAACTGTAAAGAACTGTAATTTCTGCGTGCACAGATAGGTTCAACGGACTGTTCTCCCAAATAATCATGACATTAAGAAAATTTAATCATAAACCATTTCAATGTCGTAATGCAGCGTTATTTTTCAACTTACTGCCATATTCATAACTCTTTAAATACCTTTCTTATTTTCTGTCAGGGGCACAGTTATTCTAACTAATTTCTGACTATTTATGCTATGGGTAGGAATATGCCGTGACTGTAAAACGGCTATTGATTCCGTAACATCGGTCATGGAACCATGTAGCTCAGGCCTAGCAGACATTACACAGGGCATTGAAAATGTTACATTGGAAAGCCAACAGAAGTATGTTTATACTCATGGTACACTATACTCAGGGTGCTCGGTAATAATTAGAAGTCACTTTTCAGTTTCAAACCAAGAGTATTGTGCGTGATTAGCGATTTTTCCCACCCCTTGTTTCGCCTTACATTTTATATGATGCGTGCGCAGCAGCGCACGTTTCCTTAACTTGGCCAATCTTGTTCCCAAAGTCTTCGTTCCCCTTGACGAGCGGTCGGAAAATGAGAGCTCTGGGAGCAACCATTTTGAAATAACCAATTCTGGTGATTCTGCCCATCCGGTTTCACTGCGCAGTCTGCATCTATGGCGCATGCCTGAAATAGTTCCTCCCAGAGCTCTCGTTTTCCGACCGCTGGTCAAGGGGAACGAAGACTCTGGGAACGAGATTGTGACTTTGTTTTAGCTGCGGTTGTTTATATACTTCACTTGATTCTAACATGTCGCATATTTGACTGCAGCAGTTGAATGGGGTTACGTTAACTAAATCAAACACTCTCTCCTGTAAAGAGAAATAGGAAGAACTGATATATCTGTTCTTGAACTAGCGTGAGGTCCGTATTGGAGAAATATTGGTCGAGTTCTTCTTTGCAGGCCGCAGGCAAGGTCCATAAACTTGCACTGAAAAAAGGAGGAGGCTAATATTCCCCAATACGGACCGAACAAGCTAGTTCAATAAAGTATTTATTATAATGGCTCTTTTAAAATTTTGCTGATAAATCAGTGCATCAATTCTCGGTAAGCGCGCGCGCCAAAGTTATGCATACATTTGCATTTTTCAGGCCGTTTTCGTGAACGTTTAACTGAAATTACCCTCCAGACATAAAGGAAAATATATTTGTACTTAACAAGAAACTGGTTTCTTTTGTGCACTGTTTTCGGAAGGCAATTTGCCGAAACTACATATATGACTAAGGAAGTGTTAACATTCCGCAAGGCGATGAAACAGATAGTTCGATAAAAATTAGTTTCGATGATCATGGCAGTGCACAGTGCGCTCAGGGAAAGCCTGGAGATGCTCTAAACGCGTATTTGCAATCACGAGACGCCAGTCCTATCCGTTCTAGGCGCTCCTCTGGATATCGCGAGTGAGAGGAGCCAACGCTATTACGTACGGAAAGCCGTTCAAAGTGTAACCGCCCTCATGGAGGATATCGCACCCAAAAGTCCTGCTCAACTATTCCTCCCTTCAGGCATTGTGTTCCTCAAAACCCATCCAAAACATTTTGTCGAGTGATGACGAGTGTGATGAAGACGCCGTGGACGAAACCTTAATGGGGGCGCTTGCTGAATGTTACCATGCTGCAACATGCTGGGAAACACGGCGCCAAATTCTGTCCATCATGGCCGATAAAGTATCATCTAGGAAACTGAGACGTTGAATACCTGACCTCTCAAGTTATCGGTTTTCCGAGGCTAAACACCATTGCCTTGTCCATTGGAGGGGAGCTCCTTTACCGGCAGTGTCAACGCCTGGAATGCGTGTTTCCACTACTCAAATAGACCACTGTATCGCATTTATCACCAGTGCTCACACTATTCAAGACTTGCCCTTTGGGAAGAGGACAGTAACGTTGACATCAAGAGAAACCATTAAAGTGCCAAACGTGGTACGCACGATGATTCCAGAGAGAATTGTAAAGCAGTACCTCGCTTATTGTGACGAGAGGGGATTTAAACCACTAAGTCGCAGCACCCTAGTGCGTATTTTAAATGTGTATCCCGCTTCGGTGAGGAAGTCCCTGATGGACTAGACTACATTAGTTCTTCAGGGGCTCAGGCTTTTAATGATTTATGTGAAGTTGCCGAGCTACTTGGAGATGCACGCGAAGGCATGGGCTGGGCGAAACATCAACAAAGTCGCCTACGGGAAAGCAAGCGCTATCTCAAGAGTAAATAGAAGGTAAGTTTCTCACGATGAACCTTCGCTTACTAGCAGTCAGCCTGGGATACCCTTGTAAAGAATGATTGTCGGAAACTTTACAATCGAATTGAAATAAGTTTTTATGAAAAATCCAACTCAACTAACAAATTGGTACTTTCCAGATAAAACGGTTTGAACAAATGACTTAAATGTCTTTGAAAATGATGCGTTTATTTCGAGGGCATGCGCTTGTTGTTAAACCTTACAGCTCAACTTCTCTTTGTCTAATTTCTCTAGATCTCTTTAAAGCCGTTTAATTTTGTGAACATAAATTATGGGTTTCGATGTTCACAGTCCTGTTCTTTACCAGACCCAACTCGTTTTCACTACAGATTGATTGAACAAATTTATGTGTCATCACAAAATTGTAATATTAATTAATCCATCAATTAATTAATTAATTGATTAATTTTATCAATGAGTTCGATTAAGAATTATTATTCATTCGAAGTCGATATTTCAGAAAGGTTAGTTATAAATAGATATCGAGATAATTTTAAATCAAATCTCTTCATAAGATGTTTCTAAGCTTTTACAATGAAAGACTGATTTTATTGAATTTGTTTATTCTGCACTGAAAACCGCTGCCTTTAACCAAATATTGCCGTGCCTTCATATTACAGGTGCACGTGTGTCCGACTATAAGCTATAAGCGACCCCAAGCATATCAGACTCAATGTGACCATGAGCACAATGAGGTTTGTGATTTGCTTAATATTGAGGCAGGCCTGGCTGCGCAGACAGGGAAGCTGTCATTTGATAAAAAGAAAGAGCTCTTATTTAGAGTTGGACAAGGGAAGGCAGCTATCTGGTCGTGGAAATCACACCTTCTTCGCTCTGTGAACGAAGATTCAGCTCGAGTGGAGATCCTGGAGAAACTAGACAAATCGACAGTGCTGTTTTTGCAAGATTGGGCGATGAAATTTTTACCCAGAAAGCACAGAGAGAGCCAAACAGACTGGTTTGGGAAGCGCGGAATCCCTTGGCACGTGACAGTAGCAACGTGGCGTGAGGGTGAGGAGATAAAGATGCTTAACTTTGTCCACATATTTCAAGCGTGGAGCCAAGACAGCTTTGCTGTTCTCGCGGTGGTGACAGACTTTCTGCGGCAGCTCAAGATGACAATCCCTCGCTTAGAGTTCGTCTACTATGGCCAAGGCAATGTCGGTTGCTACCACTGCGGAGCAGCCATAGTCAGTGCCAGAGTCATTGGCGAGCAATATCGGCGTCACCATAAAGCGTATTGATTTCTCAGACCCTCAGGGGGGAAAAGCGCCATGTGATCGGAAAGGTGCGACAATTAAATCGCACATGAGAATTTATCTCAACTCCGGTAATCATATCGAGACGCCCACTCAAGTGAAGGATGTAATTTTGTCATCCGGTGGAGTGTCAGCGGTTAACGTCACAATATGTGAATCAGTTGCATTTCCTGATATGCCATCCTTGAAAGTCGAAGGCATGAGTCTGCTTAACCATATCAGATATGAAGATGATAGAATTCGTGTGTGGAAGGCTTATGGCATGTGCTCTGGAAAACTTATCAAGTTGCAATATCTATCTGCCTCAGAGCTCCACACTGTCACAGCTACCCATACCCACACCAGCATGTTTGCTTCAATGAAACGAAGACGAACCACCCAACATGTACCTCGTGAAAGAGCTAGTGATGATCAAACAGACCAGGATACTCACACTACGGTAACTTCACAAGCAAACAAGAAGCAGCCTTTGCCTGTCCTGAAGAGGGTTTCACGCGCACTTTCCTAAGATATTCGTCATTGCAGCGACATCTAGATTGTGGCAAGCAGGAAAGACCTCTATAACGCTAGACCTTAATGGACAGATCTGCAGTGGGTTATGCGGAGAGGTTGCAGGAACAACAATCTCCAATACCAGAGACTATTGCAAACACCCAACCTGAAGACACCCTTAGCGCCAGTGAAAAACTATGAATGGGTTGGGTATTGAAGGCTAGTAGTACACGGCGAAGTAGGTACCCGCAGTCAGAAGACCTATCTAACGAACAAATTCAAGCTTGGATAGCAAACAGGGCAAAAGGCAGATCCTGCCTTAGTCGCACGGGCGATGGTGACTGCGAAGGATGCAAGTGGCAACCGCCTGTTTACAAGCGATGATTTTCTCTCTGCAAGCCAAATTTCTGGCTTCTTTTCTCGTCTGTCAGCGAAGAAAATCCTTTATGATGA